ACTACAGTCGGTTCCCTGAAGAGTATAGGGTCACCAAACCGGCGATGTCAGACTGCTTCGGGTTCTTTGATTTCTCAAATATCAAAACATTCAGCACGCGTCCATCCGTGGCAAGAACATCCTCAATATCCAGGGGTTATGCTCACTTACACGCTCTGCACCCCTGGAATATGTCATAGCAAAATTGAAGACATAAAGACGGCTGTTTGATTGGTTTCAGGTTAAAAAAAACAACTTACCTAGGTTGATACATGTCATTGGAAGGTTACAAAGGGGCGACCCCCGATTTCAAAGTCGGTCAGTTTTTACCGTTACGCGACTGCGATATTCTTTTGATGTACATCAAAGGATCGAACTAGTCTTCTTGTTCCTTCAATTTTGCTATTACATATTCCAGGAGTGCAGCGAGAGTAAGTGAGCATAACCCCTGGATATCATGGATGTGGCAAGAAGAGCAATTTATATTCTTATAATAACTTCTTTCATCATTGTAAATCCCCCACCTACATCAAAGAAAAAAAATGTCCGGGCTCTATCTCACACACTACTTGTCACTGGAATTTTATACATGGTGTATGGGTTAACCATGGTGAGTCGGTGTGTTGTGTATCAAAAGTAGGTCACTCTGACCTACATTTTAACCTTTGACCTACATCAAAGAAAAAGTTTGTCCGGGCTCTATCTCCCACACTTCTAGTTACCTGAACTTCATACTTTGTGTATGGGTTCACCTTGGTGAGGCAGTGTGTCATGTATCAAAAGTAGGTCACTGTGACCTACATTTTGACCTTTGACCTACGTCAAGGAAAAGGTTTGTCTTGGCTCGATCTCCTACGCTACTAGTCACTGGAACTTCATACTTGGGGTATGGGTTCACCTTGGCGAGGCAGTGTGTCATGCATCAAAAGTAGATTACTCTGGCCTACATTTTGACCTTTGACCTACATCAAAGAAAAAGTTTGTCCGGGCTCTATCTCCTGCACTTCTAGTCATTGGAACTTCATACTTGGTGTATGGGTTCACCTTGGTGAGTTGGTGTGTTGTGTGTCAAAAATAGGTCACTCTGACCTACATTTTGACCTTTGACCTACATCAAAAAAAAGTTTGTCCGGACTCTATCTCCCACACTACTAGTTACTTAAACTTCATACTTGGGGTTTGGGTTCACCTTGGCAGTGTGTCATGCATCAAAAATAGGTCACTCTGGCCTACATTTTGACCTTTGACCTACATCAAAGAAAAAGTTTGCCTTGGCTCTATCTCCTACACTACAAATCACTGGAACTTTATACTTGGAGTATGGGTTCACCTTGGTGAAGCGGTGTATCGTATATCAAAGTAGGGCACTCTGTTTTTCACCTTTGACCTGCTTCAAAGTTTGTCCGGGCTTTATTTCCTACATTACTCTTAAAAGTTTTAAAAATGTATCGCAATTTCCTTAGGAGGAAGAATGCATCACAAGATCTGCTACTTCTCTACCAAGTCACTTTCAAAACGTTGGACTGTTATACTATCAGCTATTAAAGACAGATTTCAGAACTACTGTGATGGAGCCCGTGCACACAATGGAACCAACCAGATTCTTTGTTCTATGTGTTGTGAGATGTATCTTTTCCATGTGTGTTGACTGCGAGTTACTTTAGATTTTGCTTACTTAACTGGATTTTCAGTTTCCATGCTGTATGATTCTGATACATTTGTATGCACATTTAAGGTGTAATATTTACTTCTGAATACAATTTACCAGAATCTGGTATTACTCATTCAGAGATAATATGACCAATTCTAAATTTGAATCGGTGAAATAACCCATTTAAATTAGTTATATCACAAATTCAAATCAGGACTGTTAATTTTGCATCTAGGAATGGGTGATACCATTGATTCAAATTAGTGACATTCATTGCCTCTTTGAATCCGTGATATAACTTATTCGTTTGAACTTCTGAATCCTGATATCGCTTACTAAAATTAGTGATATTCACATTTATACCACCACATGCAATCAAATAATGAAACGCTGTATAATACATAGTGTCACCATATGCATTTTAATAGTAAAACGGTACCACTAACCAGTAAACATCCACCAGATTTATTTGCAATAGTAGCACTGACACTATTCCTTATTGAATATGGTGGATCTGTCAATTATTCATATATAGAATTAGTTCCTGAACGAATTTATCATCTATTCATTTCACATTCGGTGGGGGACTATATTTCGCCGAATTGTCTTGTTGTACATGTTGATGTGTTTTCTGTTTTATCTGTATTTCCATTACCTTCCCTTTTAGTATCTTTGAATTGCCGTTATCATTGTTGTTGTTATTGCTAGCATGGTAATTGATGGATATTTTGATATTTTTTCTTTTTTATTAGTTTTAGGGTTCTGGCAGTTCTTTGTGATTAATTGTTTCGAAACTGTTTTTGAAGTTCTTGTTGTTGTTGTTTTGACGGGCGCCGACCTTCCTTCTGGACACTCGAACTTATTTTCGGTCACAATCAAAACAAGTAAATTTGTTCAAAAGTGTTGACTACTTTTCTCAACTTTTGTATTTTATGATCACTAACATCTTTTTGATTGCATTATATGGAATTATACGTGTTAGGATTTGGTGTATTCCCATCATCAGAGAGAAATCTTATGACAATCCTTTTTGTGTATGATTGTCAGCCTTTATATCTTTCTTTCTATTTCCTTGTGTTGTAGAGCCGCGGTGGCCAAGTGGTTAAGGCGTCTGACATTCTGTTACCACTAGCCCCCACCACTGGGTCGTGGGTTCGAAACCTACGTGGGGCAGTCGCCAGGTACTGGGCATAGGTCGGTAGTTTTTCTCCGGGAACTTGGCTTTTCTCCACCACCAAATCCTGGCACGTTATTAAATGACCATACCTGTTAATAGGACGTAAAACACAAACAAACCAAGAAGTCCTTGTGTTGTTATGAAGTTTCCCTTTTCCGTCTCCCTCTCTCGAAAGTGACCATTAATCTTTCTGGATATCCACATGATTTTTGTTACCCCAGTATTTTATGGAGGAAATGATGTGAATTGAAGTTGATACATTGTCTGTGTGGGCAGCTTCTCTACACAACAATAAGTTCACGGGACCATGTGTGGATGGTCTACTAGACTAGCGTCTCGGAGACCACATACATGTATGTTGTATATACGGTTATTTAAACTCTTGGAACTCTTCTACAACAAGGTAAATGATCCCTTCATGTCTTACCGAGGTCTACCATCGTCAATGTTCTTACCAAATGTATAGACAAGAAGGGTTTGTACAACGCACTTACAACACAGGGTTTCCAAAGATGCAGGTTGATGAAGATTATGGATAAATTTAAGGAAGCAAGTTGTTTCTCTGTGTGATATTTGAAAGTCGATATTTTGGATTATGTTCATTAGGGTGCCTTGTGGTTTTGTTGTCACTACCCGAGTTCTCGGTGTGAGGACGTGACGTTACTTGGTTTCGACTTAGATTTAAATAACTGGTGTCATCGACGAAGCACAGAAGACGCGTACCCTTCTGGAATACCTGATCTTATTCTCCTTGTACTTTTTCAAGGACCTCCAGGTAAATATTTTACTTTGTTCATAGTCTGCCATAGTTTTATCGATTTTGAGTTCGACTTATGGTTTTATTGACACATCCAGTCTCCCCTGACCATGTGGTGAACATGTCGAGGTTAATACAGGACTATTTTCACGAGCATGGGCTTCCAGTCTTCCCTGACCATAGGGTGTACATGTCGAGGTTAATACAGGGCTATTTTTACGAGCATGGGTTTCCAGTCTCCCCTGACCATGTGGTGTAAATGTCGAGGTTAATACAGGGCTATTTCCACGAGCATGGGCTTCCAATCTTCCCAGACCATAGGGTGTACATGTCGAGGTTAATACAGGGCTATTTTTACGAGCATGGGCTTCCAGTCTTCCCTGACCATAGGGTGTACATGTCGAGGTTAATACAGGGCTATTTCCACGAGCATGGGCTTCCATTCTTCCCTGACCATAGAGTGTACATGTCGAGGTTAATACAGGGCTATTTTTACGAGCATGGGCTTCCAGTCTTCCCTGACCATAGGGTGTACATGTCGAGGTTAATACAGGGCTATTTCCACGAGCATGGGCTTCCAGTCTTCCCTGACCATGTGGTGTACATGTCGAGGTTAATACAGGACTATTTCCACGAGCATGGGCTTCCAGTCTCCCCTGACCATGTGGTGTACATGTCGAGGTTAATACAGGACTATTTCCACGAGCATGGACTTCCAGTCTCCCCTGACCATGTGGTGTACATGTCGAGGTTAATACAGGACTATTTCCACGAGCATGGGTTCCCAGTCTTCCCTGACCATAGGGTGTACATGTCGAGCTTAATACAGGACTATTTCCACGAGCATGGGTTCCAAGTCTTCCCTGACCATGTGGTGTACATGTCGAGGTTAATACAGGGCTATTTTCACGAGCATGGGCTTCCAGTCTTCCCTGACCATAGGGTGTACATGTCGAGCTTAATACAGGACTATTTCCACGAGCATGGGTTCCCAGTCTTCCCTGACCATGTGGTGTACATGTCGAGGTTAGTACAGGGCTATTTTCACGAGCATGGGCTTCCAGTCTCCCCTGACCATGTGGTGTACATGTCGAGGTTAATACAGGGCTATTTTCTGAGTAAATGCGGAATATTGACCAATAAAATACTATGCTAGGATTACTGAAAGGCTTCATATGAAGGATTGGTCTCTGTCAGGTTCTGTCGGGAGCAATCCTTGCTTAATATCTTCATATCTAGTTAATTATCATTCTCTCTAGAAACTCGTTCTTTAAAGAGATCTTGACTTATATATGGTTTTTCTGTATGAGATATCTTAAATAAGCTTGCATGTGTGTTCAGTTTACGTTGAAAACAAATGCGCATATTAGAGCGTCTAATGACGGGGTGGAATCATAAATAAAAGTAGCATTAAACTATGTAAGGTTATGTTCCAGAATAACGTTTTACTAAATAAATAAAATCGTTGAAAAGATGATAACTTTGAATTCTTTTGCACAAATGTATTCTGAAAAAATGCTATTTTGCAAAATACTCGACTGACAGTGCGTACTTCACAACTAGCTAATATATCGACTTAACAATAGTCTAGTAAATGTCTGTATAAATAGTAATACAAAACGTAGTGAACTCATCGATAAGATAATGTTATCTTCACATCATGTCATTATTTCTTCTGTGAAAAGGTCAAATATACAATACAAATGATTTATGCATACATCAGAACAGCTTACAGATTTCTTCTATCATTGATAATATAAATTAACATAATATATCGACAACAAAACAATAAAACTGATACAACCATATCGTGGAAATATAATGTAATTTCCGTCGCAGTCAGTTTAGGAACACGTTACATGCAATCGTAACATATCCCGTCAAATATGTGTATGTTATTGGTTTCTACACTTATAAACTGTTATTTGGGTTAAGTTATTTCACAGCTCAATAATGCTAATTTGGTAAACCGCTGACTTTGATAGCTTCGTTATAGGACTTTCTCAGTTCGTATTTACCAGCGTACCCTGATGTTCCTTTGAAGTTAACTAATTTGGGATCGACCTTCATTGGTTTGATAGGGATTTCACTATGTGTCTCCCGATTATGGATTCCCAGATAAGAATGACGGTCTACGATACTCCCTGGCTCTGTGATGCGCGGCTCGCTGTACGACTTCCTCAGCTGCCGTCTTTTGGCTTTCCTCGCTTCCTTATCAACTTTGGCGTTTTGTGGATTTGTCACACTGTTAATTGTCACGCTCTTGTTTGATACGCTGTTGTTTGCCCCACTACCATTTGACAGATCAAACCCGTTTAGTAGTTCCGAGTCAGGTGTGTATTGAGCACCTGTTCTGTGCAACTCCTTCACCTCGATCTTCTGGAAATCATGCGAGTCGGGTTCCCATGGCTGGCTTTTTGACGACGGATCTGGATCACTCTGTCTTCTGTCTTTCTTTTCATTTGTTCTTTTCTCCGATTTTTCTTTTTCAACACTAGTTCTTCGTCTAGTTTTGTCTGAATTAGCATGAGCCATCGTTCTCCTTTTACTTTTTATATTCACCGGCGAGACATTATTTTTCTTCCCCTTTTCTGACCCAACAGATAGTATGTCAACATGTGGATCTGATATCACAGTGAAGCCACCTTTTCGACCGTTCGCAGGATGTCCTACTGGAAAGGATAAACCCTTCAATTTCCTTCTTTTGTATGCATTCTGGTATGTTCGTTCTCCAAGGTCAAAAAGACCTTCGGTGGTGAGCGGAGGCGGTTTATTCAACATATCCATAGTGATTGTCACATACTTCTTCGTTGGTTTGGCAAATTTTGGCTGTATAATGACTGGTCGCTTAGGTTTGGGTTTTCTTTCCTTTAGAGTTCCAACTGACGCCTCAATTTCCTTTATCATAGATTTCACCTGTAAAAGAAGATTATTTTGTTAATATATTTCAATTTTTGATTCGTGTTAAAAAATAAAAATAGACTGCTATCTGTACTAGCTACTTACCCATATAAACACTCCTGTCGCTCCAGGGCTTATTTCTCTCATTTTTGTTTCAGTGTAGGGCTCCAACATCATTTTAGCTTCTATAGCAGTTGCTATGGATACATCTTTTGGCTCAAAGTTTACCATTATCTGAGCGAGATTTTCATTCTCAGATTGGTGCATAATGGTTTTGCATTGAATCCATTTCTGCAACGGAAAAACAAAGTATAGAACTACAGATGGGGTAAGCTCTCAATTATAAACATATTTTACAAGATACAGATATAAACTGAATTCTGAATGAAAAAAAGATTAAAAGCACTATTTTCTATTTTTGTGTTATGTCTCTCAGTACCCAGTAGTATGACACTCTTCCTTTGTACAACATTTGATTCCCTGGTTACATAATGTTAATTAGTTAATTTTGTTAAAATATGATCCATAGGATAAGGCTTTTTAAGAGTTCAATGTCCAAATGTCCTACTTTGAGCCTAGTCCCCATAGAAGTTCCAGATACAAAGTACCAACAAGATGCTTCATAGCAAATTTGGTTGGGATTCATGTATATATGGATAAGTTGGCGATCGTTTCTAAGTTATGATCCAAAGAATAAGTCCCCATGGGCAAGCCAGACCAAAGAGACAATTAAGATAGCACGGGAGGATCGATTACCAAGCAATGTATTTTTATAGGATTGGATCTCGACTGTTCCCAAGTGTTGGTACATAAACTTAGTCTTCAAGGGCGGTGCCGGGCCCAGCATAAAGGAATATGGATTTACGGTGGGGATTTAAATCATTGCCAAGCCTTTATTTGCCCTGCTCCTAAAACTTCAGTCAAGAGAAGTCGCCAACCAAATAATTATGACCGAAATACTCGTTCCAGGGTCAATCTGTATCTGTATAATTTGGAACCCCAACCTTCTGTAGATTCTTCAAATCATGATTATCGATATCCATTTAATAACGAGAATATTTCATGACTTTATCCTATTTGAATCGATCAGATAAACAGATAACTTCTCATGATCCATTATATAGTTTACAAAAGCTTTCGGAAGTTTCTCGGTACCTTCTTCATGTGACATCTAATCAGGACTAAAGATGGTCTGTGTCACGTGACACAATGTTTCCACAGATAGGGGTTTACTTGTGTCCGCTGTTTCTGTTTTAAGCCGGGGCCTGGCAAATTTTCATTTCAGAATATTTTATTGTAATGATCTTATGTACAAAAGGAATTGGGTAAAGGCATAGCCTATATAAGCCCTCTCCTTTCAAAACATAACAGTATATATACATATCATATAAATGTTACTTTAACATATGTTTCTTTAAGAATTAAAATAAGAGATCATTTGTACTTTGAATTTGATTTGACAATACATATTTCAAATATCGCAATTGTTGCAAGAGAGATTATTTTACAAAGTTATTTGAGAATCTAATAATAATGTCTGGTGTCTCTAATGTAATTCTGAAAAATGGCAAATGACTAGTATTTCTATCAAATCAAATGTTATCTTTCCGGGATTTTTCTCTCTTCAACGTTGACACTGTGTCCTGTTCTTTTAAATGTTCTTACTGCAGTTACTGACGCTCTCCTGATATTCTCAAACTCTTTGAATCTGGCCTTACAAGTCCTAGCCGTTTCATAGAATTATTTCTGTTTGCATTCCTTTCAATCTCACAGACAGGTTAGCTGAGTCCTGATGGTGTTGAACAACTGATGATAGCTCATATCGTTCCGTCTCTTCAGTACTTGGCAAGTGTTTCAGAAGTTTCGCGAACAAACGTCAGTTAATGAACATTTAAAGGAATCCGGACACGCAGTCAACATCAGGGACAGTAACATCAAAATGTTAAGCTTGGTCCGGGAAGATTTTACCTTCAGAAGACAGGAAGTGCCAGGAAGGCGATATTTTGTCAAGACTGAACAAACACATGACCATATTTAACTTAGCTTATCTTTAGCTTATATAGAATTGCATCAGTAAGAAAACCACTCAAGTATCTACCTCTGATTCCGACAGTGGATGTCCTAATAGAAGAAGAGCTGCCCTCACTGCATTGTGTACGCCAGCTGGTGGATTGTCGTACGTCTTCAGTTCCCCCATTGTCTTGTGGTCCGCCTGGCGGACACCTTCGCTCAGTCGCTGCAGAACACGGAGACGATCCCTGAGACGCCTCGCTAACAACAGCGGCATGTCCAGTGATTTGTCAGTATTGGCAGATTTTGCCTTAACAATAGCCTTTTCAAGTAATGGCAGATTTCTTGTCTTGTATGCCTGATTGAGCTCTGTTGGATTAAAAAAAGTCTTATAGAAAACAAGGTTTAACTACTTTTGTACACTTTATAACTATTCATATTCCATTGTTTCCAATCTACAAATGCACTTCCACACTCTGTACAGCATCTTCCGTAGTTTTTGTTTTTAAGTTCATACTCTGTGGTTATTTTAATGCCTTTTACAGCTACTTTCAGTTACTTTTTTAACGAATTACATTTATACCTTTTAGAACTGTTTCCATACTCTGTATGGCTAAATTGTACAATCTATATAACTGATATACTCTGTATATATGCTCCAAACGTGAATTCGAAAGTTAAACCTTAACGTAAGTCATTTAATTTTCGTCAAACGTTTTTACATGTCAAGCATCAAATAACAAATAAGCTCGATTTTTAATTTGTCAAAGTAATAAAAACAAAAACATTTTTTGTTAATGATAAACGATCGAATTATTTAGAACACAACAGGAGTGTAAAATGCATCTCAACGAAGGAGAAGATCCTTACCTATTTTGGCTTCCTTGTATCTGAGAAGTTTCTTGGCCTTTTTCACTAATGCATTCGCTGGATCTGGCTGTGTGAGTAGCATATCCGACAAAGCTTGCCGGATAACTGCAGGATCATCTGACTCGAGCGATAGAAATAATTTCTGCGCACGGGCAATCTTTTCGTCAACTAAAACCCAGAAGAACATACAACAAATTGCTGGTTCTTATTCGACCAGATGTATGATTTTATTTGTGTAACAAGTTGATCACATCCATAAAAACAGGAAATGGTCCGAAAAGATTATTTTTTTGTAATTTCGTTATTAAACAAATTTTAATTAATTGACTAAAAATGAAAAAGTCAAATGGATTGAATAAAGTCTTTATAAAATTATTGTAATGACCGTCCACATACTTTGATAAATAAATCCAAGATGATTTTAATATAATTTGAAAGATAACGCCCACTTATACACAAAATGGAGATTATGTATGCATATGTACAGGTAAATATAATGTTCTTCATAGGTAACATCCATATCACTAATGTAGAACTAAATATACACCTCTCCATATTAACTCATTATCCCCATACTCGGTCCGTTATTTTCCCGTACGACAATATCCCTGAACTAATTTGACCTCTCTTATTGTCCCTGTACTAAACAATCAAGGGTTATGCCCACCATTCTGTATACGAAGTCTCAATATTCCTGATCTAGACCCAGCAATTTCCACTCGTATTCTCATGAGTATTCCTTTATTATTTCTAATCATTTTTCATTTGAGTTTTCATATCAACGGTCCCCCTTTTCACGTTTGTTCTCGTTATTCATGAAGTAAAGCTAATACTCCTATACAAAGATTCAATATGGTAATCTAAGTAGACACATAACGTATCTCTGAATCAGATCCAGCACTTTTCATACGAAGCCTCAATATATTTTAGTTAGACAAAGTACGCTCAATACGTAATCATCAATTTTAATTAATAAGTCCCGTTACGCTTCCTACGTGAGTTGCTCTTACCGGGGACATTCCTCCTCTTCCTGTCTCGGAGCGCTCTGTTTGTAGCGTCAATGGCGGATACATCCTGACCGACCCTCACTCGTTCTTCTCTGATTGCGTCCATAATGGTGATCAGGTCATCTTCTACTACGTCGACAGAATTTGATCGGAATATGTAGTACCTACCGATGCTCTTGAGGTACACCTTCTCGGCTTGTTGATAGATATGCAGAATGTATTCTCCGTGTTTAGGCAATATGACCTTAAACATTGTCACTCCGAGCTCCGTTGTCATTTCGACGTTCTCTTTGCTGGGAGCGATGTCCGCTTCTTTCTGTTCTAGAAATGCTAACACGTTTTCCATACCTGCTGGTACAGGTACTGCGATCTCTGACTGCTTTGTATAAATTGTTTCGGCTATAACCGGTGATGTGTCTTTCCAAAAATTGCTGTTCTTCACTCTTCCGACAGTACCTTCTTGTATTGGTCTTCCAGTAGACTGGACTAAAAATGCATGTGAGTTATGTAAGTCATGGCACACTTGTCCTTTCTTTTGTGCATATACATTCATGGAATATTCCCCTTGTGCTGGCAAATCTAAATAGAACCAGTTTTTGTTGTTTCCATTTTTCAGTGTCACGCGCATTCTATCGGCTTGTGCTAGAACGTTTGTATGCAGCTCGCATGATAAATCCACATCCCCTTTGTTCTCAAACTCTACCTGAGCAAATCCATCTTTGGCGAATATCATTCCGTCTTCGCACCCATTGCATCTAACGCCCAAGTTTTTACACGCCGGATTAGCACCTATGTTCCCTGTGTTAATGTTTGGGAAAGGGTCGTTTTTCAAACCTTTACCATAGCACTTGATGAGATAATTCAACACATTTGCATGTTCCCCCTTCTTTGACGTTAAGTTCTTGGCATATAACTTCATAGCATACATACCACCTTTTGGTAAACGGGTGTTTATAATGAAATCATTCCCTGTCCATCTCAAAATGGCATATTTGTCCAAATTGGCCTCATCCGAAAAAGGATTGCGAAGACTCATCTTCAGTTTGTGTTCTTCACCCCCTCCTATGACGATTTCAAGACGTCCGTCCTCGGTGAGAATGGAAGACTCTTTGTGTGAAATAGCTTCAATGCCTGCAGTTTGTGAAGTTATTCCGGGTCCCCACCCAATGGCAGGATAATCTGGTAGAGGTATACAGTTTTGAGCGTCATTTGCCACTAGAAGATAAGAGCACACGAGGTCATAACCACTGATCTCGGGGTTAGTTTTATCCAACCCATATATGTCTAATTTAAACTTCCCAGCAATTGGAAATTGAAATGAGAAACGCAACATGTCTTCCAAATGTTCGAATATAACGAATCTGTCTAAAAGGATGTCCAGTCGTGTCCTTTCCTCCGCGGAAAGGTGTGACCGAAACAGCACATACTTAAATCGATAGTTTTTACTTCTTTCAGGAGGGAGAGTTAATATCAACTCAGACGCTCCATCTAAGGCTTCGATGATACAGTTGTCATAAATTTCATCAGCAATTTTCATATCAAGCTGATGGAACCTCTCCCTCATGAATGCTTGCTCCTCGAACTCCGCAAAAGGGATAGGTTCTTCCAGTAGTTGCCAAACATCTTCATCAGGGAGATGGGTGCTGATCATTTCACTGGGGTTCGTTAAGAAATAGTGCTCGTTAACTATCATCTTGTGATATCTTTTCCATGTTAGGTCAGTAAAGCGTCTATCTGTTCCAGCTTCGGAAATTTCTTCGTCCGTCGGCAGGTTGTTTGTCCCCTCTAAAACGGTTGGTTGCCGCGTTACTTCGCGGCCCGGAATATCTACATCACCGTTCATGCTCGGGTCGCCATTGATGCTGCTGATATCAGATTTATTACCGGTAGTGACACTCATGCCGTCCATATCTCTCCATTCTTCTGGCATCTCATTTCCAGCACACATATTCCCCCAGAATGTATCAACCAGACGCCATTCGTCGTAGATGTACACGGCGTTCCATTGAGCCTTGAGATCTTCCCTGTCAATCGGCTCACCTACCTTATACATTGAGCTCTTATTGATGCCTTCCACTACCACACACGGAATATCTGCGATTCTGAAATAGCAAGGAAGACGAGGTTACGTTTGGCGCTTCTTACCTCTCACATGTTACTGTGATTTTTCCGGACGAATTAAGTACGTGTTCATACAATGTTAACTGCTCTATATAAATATATGTGTCGTGTCATTTACGTTACAAGAACGCTTTGTTATTATATATTGCAACAGATGTATATCATTCTTTCATACCGGTTATCATAGTACATTCTAAAGGTATCGCATGAAAGTCATATTCTTGAATGGCTGTGCAGAGCTATGACAATCAAACAGAGAAGTTGTTTTTTGTTAAAATCGACAATAGACATAATCATACATTTTTCCCAACTTCATGATCCTTCATGATCGTAGAAATGCTCTCCACAATTACACTGAACTTCAGATTTACCTAATTCGCCTAAACGACTGACTACATGATCAACGGAATTTTCAAAACCAGACTTTGGAAGAGTTATATCAGAAAAGCAAAATGAAGGGGATATTACTGTATAAACGGGGGAAAACAGTGCAGTGGGCAGGGATTCTTAAGTCAACAATATTAATGGCAGGCATACATTATAAAGCAGGGTAATAGTTTGGTTGTACCAAAGGTAATCGGGGTAATGTGGTGTTTTGCACAGGGATTAAATCCCAGATTAACTACTTCACAAAACGATTAAGTCGAATTAAGGTTTGTGTTTCAAATATTTACTGACAGAAGATTACGATTAGCACACTAGCACAGTATTAAAATAACATAAACCAACATATTGGTTATTCAATAAATGTAAATAAATAAGGAACACAAATTACCGAATTTAATGCATTTTCAAAATTTAAACTTGCTATTTAAACTTCCTTATATCATTCATATGCTTTACTCTTCTATATTGCATTGCATGTCTTAGAATAGCGAATACATAATACAGTGAAAATGGTGTTGGTTTTATTGATATTTCTAAGTATCCACTTATTACGTTTTGATATTATACAGACAAAACTGAAATTGAAAACTTTAAACATACTCGCACAGAATGTAAAACAGATTTGGGTAGCTGCCGAGATCACACTGTATTTTACTGAAGTACTCGAGCGGAGAGTTCGGCGGCGGTGTGACGTCAATCTTCATCCTCGTGATGTCATATGACGTGACCCAACGGAAGATGACGCGGCATTTGACTAGATCATCCCACGCATTGTCGTCTGTAAGATACTCTACTAGGTCAAAGTATGACCCCATCAACAGTTCCACTGGAGCCTGAAAAAGTAATGTTTTCACAATTAACAATTTCCTTACAGTAAGGATCAACCATGGAGCATGAAAGCGTAATGTTATCACAGTTAACGATGTTCTTATCCGATCCTTTCTAGTTTGATGTTTCTTTCCTTATTACTCTTTATATCCATTGTGCAAACAAACGGTTCATCGCATTGAAGACGAAGATTTTACCTTCATGATAGGGTGAAATCGTCTTTTATATACACAACGCACTGTAATTGTTTTTTAATCTTTTGTCTTCAGGAAAATGAAATCAAAATAGGTCCTATCATATCTTGAGCTTGAAAAAGTAAACAATATCAACCCTAAAGGGTTTCTCTTCCCTGTCCTTAAGGTAGGTAATTGTCCATATAAAACACGGACTACAAAGTAATCAAAGTTGCTTACCAACATTCGGTTCATATAAACAGGTGTATTTAGTTAAAAGGACCAAAATGACATTTATGAATTTTCTAAATTAATTAAAACTAAAATTAACAACGAATAATATAAATTATGTGAAATAATAAGATGAATTTAAAAGCGAGCTAAACCAATGAGACTTCATACAATATGATTATGTAAAACCTTACGTCGATGGCGTGCTGGTCTACAGCGTGGAAGTCGATGTCGTGTAGGAGAGAGTACTTGGTGGTAGACGTCGGTTTGGGGGGTAGCAGACGGTCCACCTCCTGTGGAACAATTATTAAAAACTCAGGTATATCCCATGTCATAGTACGTGTATTTCGAACTAGGTTCTGACTCCATTTGTTAATGTATTATAACGTAAAGATATCAACGATTGTATTATAACTTATAGATATCAACGATTGTATTATAACTTAAAGATATCAACGATTGTATTATAACTTAAAGATATCAACGATGATGACAAAATATCCAAATTTTGAATGTATGGATGCCACATGTATATATATATTTCAACCAATTTTTGGAATTACTGACGTTTGTTAATCCATGTCTTAAGTTGTTTTTTAAGAGTATTCCACCAAAAAAGCTAAACAGAAATAAAGAATTTCCCCTTAATAATATAACAAAAACAACAATACAGTTAGGAACAACTGGATAAACATATTCCGTTCACCGCAAGTTGACACTCATTTACATGACAGCTTTGTTATTTGTTTCCAAACGCATGTTGATCTTGACCATACTGACTTCCTACATATAGTTTTTGTAGAACATTACAATCGAACACTTCGCGAAAATCCAATATAAATCACTGGGTTCAGGCCATTGACATTTTACACACTACCGGTCGATGAAGGCCATTCCTCTGCTCTACAGACATTCTATCATCTAATCACTATATCAATACTCGAAAGACAGTCTCAAATTTGATTTTTTCATTTAAACGCCAAAACAAGGTAGCATTTCGTTCAATTTTATCAATATTAAAATATTTCGATTTGCTGTTTGTTTGTAATATTTATACCCTAAACATTCTAGTATTCAATTTTTATAACAACACACAAAAGACAGCCTGTATTTCTTATATATATACACTAAAGGCAGACCAACATTTCATTTACTGTATAACATGAAATGTTCGTTGTATAATAACATTCGTGGTTTTCGTGGAGGCTACGGAACCATGAAAATAACCTAAACGAATATAATTGATATACTTGCTTACTGTTTGTTTTATATGGGGGTTCCCCACGAAAGTTTGTACCACGAATCGATCTTTATGGCTTCAAGCCACGGATGAAAATATCTACGAATATTTCATTTTACACAGTATATAAACATAAACTACAGATAGTCTAACATTTACTTCTGTAGCTATAACCTGAAGACAGGTTACAGTCATTCCAATGCAATATTATTTAACGATATTATTCAATTCTTTAACTCCGAGACCGTTTTCGATTTTACCTTATATGACACACGTATGTTTGATATGTGACTTGTTACATAAATGACACTTTATGAACTATTAAAATCATCACGTGTTTTACCGTCATGAAAATTACAATATACAGTATGTATATAAACAATTTACGTATAATTTACGTGTAACGACTTTACTATAAAATGTTTCAGAAATTTAACGCTTTAAACAAAACAAAAGCATCCAAGCAGCGACAAGTACTTCTATTTGCTAATATGGCACGCGCTCATCAAAGCAAAATACACAAAATATCATCAATTATTTAGGCTAGCATGAAGTTAGGCAATAAACGATGGATACATGTTAGTTGAAACATGTTGTAATAAACCACTATGGCTGTAAAAAGGTTATTAAACAACTCATGAAACACAAGTTTCAAATCATACATATTTATAACCACTACCCCATTTTACATGCAATCAATGAGCGTCGAATGCAAATGAAAAATATAAATTAAAAGCGCAAACGTTACCAAGCATAACAGTGTTAACCGCAAGCGTCTGTTATACTTTTTTAGAGTACTCCTTTTGTAGTCAAACACTGTTCGTTACCAATACCTCTTTGTAATCGTATGGCGGCGGGGTAAGTGATTCATCAATAACAGGTTACGATTCCTGAAAAATGTTGTTAATTGTGTGATGTTTTACTGAGTTCATTTCGTTATTTACCTTCTCTTCCTGTTGTGAATGTTTCTACGGATATTATATAGGGTTCTTATATTGGATCCTTCAAAAACATCAGATATGTGTTTCATGCAATAGTTCAACTACTCAAATTGATGTTGACTGTGAGCGTAACAAATGTAAACTATCTTTGATTTCCGTTTATTGAACTTTTGTCTGACAGTCTTCCAAAGAGCAATGTTGTGATCTATGTTTGTAGGAATTCTCTTTTAAAATACAATTACGCCTGATTTTAGTGCTTCATTTGAAAAAAAAAGGATATCAAATCTTCCAGGATGTCATTTAAGTCAGGTGTCGGTAAATTCAGGTTTTACTATATTATGAAATAAATAATTTCGTTTTCTTTATCCAGATTTTAGTGTGAAAAAAATATTGTAATTTCAAACTTTAATAACAAGCCTAGCAAATAAATTTTAACAACCAAGTTTGATATTAATATCCTTTATCTTAAATAGCTTAAATATATGGGTTTTTATGTGAATACATGTATATAGAAATATATAAACCGTTTAAACACAGTATATATTACAGTGCCATTCAGTTTATGCGATAAGAGTTAAATCCTGGTCTTTATTTTGGCAGAGAAACTACAACATATAACACTTTAACGTTCCCTACCATCGTTTCACCTTTCTTAAATTTATTAATCTCATTTAATTCAAATACAATAATTCAAATGCAGATGATTTACCAATGTGAGAATCTATTTGATAAATCTCTATAGTTTATGTAAGAGTATGAACATATTTGTATTTGTGACGTCACAATAAAAAAAAATGACGTCATATTTAGGCAGTGCAATATAAAGACTAGTAACACAGGGTAGGTTTGTGCTAGGCAACCTCTGCAAAAGACGGTGTAAAACAGCGATACTTTTTCTCTTGAGAATAATAAAAAAAAAAATAGGTAATAGGAAACATAATACCAATAATACAAAACAAAAATTCATTTGGCTTAAACTTATCAATTTATCACTGAAATCAAATATCTAAGTTACCTTTTTCTTGCTTTTCCCGGGATTAAATTTCCCTTTGTTTTTCTGGAAGGCCGTCGGCTGCTGTGCATGCTTTGAACTGCTGGTGTTTGTTTTACTGTTTGTCGAATTGTACGCCTTCTTGCTGCGTGTCTTCCCCTCGCCTAACTGTGTCTGTACTGGTGCTTCAGCGGCTGTGTCTCCATTGGTACTGTTTGGGTTGTTGGCATTGCGGGGGGTCGGCCGTGACTGGGGGTCTGACGCTGCAGTCCCTGTGGAGCTACTGGCTCCCATGATGCACCTCAATGTTTACTATGTTGTCATTTTCAAACTTTCTGTCGCACTCTTTCGTGAATAACTGCGTTCCTGTGTCATCTTAGCCATGCTCACGTTGAAAATGTCCTTAAATATGCAATGTACATGTGTTATGCTTACTTGTATTCTCATTTCCATCGATTGATGGTAATTAGCATTCCAAACGGTACGTTATTATTGATTAACATTGATAATTGAAAATTTAAATACAAGAAAATAGTAATGACAGTGAATATGAGCCTTAATGTTTGTGTTTACATTGTTTACATACAAACACTTGAGCATAGTGAAGTGCTTACACTTAAACATAAACAAAGGAAGATTGCATACTGGTCCAGTCACTTGAAATAATCAATCGAAACACGAATAAATAAAGCACGTAATTGAACCTTTCGAAACTTTAAATATCGATTTTACCAGCGAGAAGTAAATAAAAAAATGTACTAAATGCACTATTTATTATCAAAAAGCCTCGCTGGCTGTAATGGGTTGTATAATGTTTATCATTGTTTAGGGTAATAATACAACTTTTGTGTTCCTGTCAGACAGGTGAACGACAGTACAAGGTACATATTGTAGTGCATGGATATATTAAAGAATATTATTGAAAAATACCCAAAGTTGTAAAATGTTATATATGCCTTTCTTGGTGTATTCTCCTTCGTAAAGAAAGATTTTACCTATTTAGCTATTTTGTCTATAGTGGAGACACACGAAGTCAATCAGCGTTATACGACCTCAACGGTTTTTGCTGTAGTACTAAGTTATATGTACGGTCGAATAACTTACTTTTTGTTTATTATGCTTAATTTTTTAACATACCGTTAGTGTTACAAATATGTACACGCATCACATAATGATTAGCCTTGACAACACCTTAGTACAAAATAGTTAGTCATTAAATTCGCCCTATCATACAGCAGCCTTAATGATATCGTCTAATTACAACAAAATCAAACATTAACCGAATCGTAAATACTTACGTGTCAACGTTCTACACAAGTTGGACTATCTCATACCTTTACGTTTAGACTGAACATGAAAGATAATGATTTCAGTTAAAACATGATAGAAACTTAGAAGTAGGTTAAGCGGCACTCACCTTACTGGGGACAACTGACCAGGTATAACCACGCCTGTCCGAGTAGTCCAAACCATTGTTATCCGTTAATTTGACCTCAGGTTAAATACACCTACAGTTCGGCTAACCATGTGTATTGTCTTTTCAACACCAGCATGATATAGTGAGTGAAATAGCGAGATAATGAAATAATCTACTAATCTCCAACCTTAGTAGATTAATCTATGATCCGGGCATTGTCTTTTAATCGCATTTAACGGAAATAGGTAGTATTTATATATATATCAAGTATGGTTCCGGATCGCTCCTGCAACAGATTAATGTATAACTCATTATATACAAATAAATCGGTTATAAGAAATACGGATTTCAATAACCCAGTTTTAATCTAAGAGAGATTAACATACTTCGGTTGTAATAATGGTGTATAAGTTTGTTTATGGAGAAGACATAGGTGTCAACCTCTGAAACCTCCAATGAAGGAGACCTCCCTCATTCAACATTTCCAATGAGGGAGAACTTGCATGAAATGCAACTGAAACTGCTTTGCTCAATTGATCTTTCCCTTTTTCATGTATCAAATAACTCCAAAAAGCACACATTTGATTCAGACACACCTGTTGTAATCACTACGCACTCCCTGCAGTAACTAGGAGATTATTTGACCGCAGGATATAGATTTTGAGGTGTTTCTTTTAATTTGGACTTGGATAAGGGAGTTTCGAGGGAGATTGGTAATTTTGGTGAAAATAAGGGAAATTCAATCCTTATGAGGGAGATTTGACAGCTATTGGAAGAAAGTGTATCTAATCTCGTGGACAAGATGGTACACAGCGTGACTCGGTCTCTTACGTGTTTGCTTGTGTTACATTCCATTCCACAAAGCATGTTTGATTCTACCAAAAGCATAAGTGTAATGCTGATAATGGAATATTCATGTGAAGCCTGTTATATACAGAGATTACTGGGAAAGTGGCAGGTACCATAGAAGATATTGACCTTGGTTTCGAATTTATAACACAAAATAACCTCTTAAACAATATATTATAATAATTAGACTGCACTGCAACATTGTTCGCTTTTCATTCCAGACATTCTTTAATGTGTGCAAGATGGAAAGTCGAGGACATGGGGAATAATCGCGGACTAAAACACGACATATATATATGTATATCCCTAAAAGTACTGCTTAAAGCAAATCAAATTCTTGGTTTTTACCGAACAGTGTATTTTAGAAGTCAAAATTTGGACCTTGAAACATTAATAACAATAATTAAACCATATTTGAAGTAGGTCGTTATGTCTTATTTTCTTTCTTTCTATGAAAACGTGCAGGGAGACGTTGATGTAATGACAGAGAAAGCTAATGAAAAAAACAATTTTATCCAAAACTCAAACTACAGTCACTGTCTTGGATCTGCATCTTTTTCAAGATTCAAACGTTCAAACAAATGATGACTTGACTACGTCCAAACACTTTTTATTGACGACAGTGTTGATGTCCTCAAACTTGAAGTGTGTGCTGATGTAGTCTGAAATAGGAAAAGTGAATACATACAAACTGTAAATTACTTTTTACATTTTTGAAAATTATTATAGTGTTTTGAAATAATGTTTTCAGACTTCCTTAACTTTTCTTGTTGTCATCTGAAGCAAACCCATGGAAGTTTTTTATAGAAATTATAAAGAGTTAGTTTCTGTCTCACTTGCAGATTCCATGTTTGGGGCTCTTCTGAAAATCTGCAAACGGTTATAGTTTTTGTCTGCATGAATCTACATATACTGTTAATTACTTTACAACTTGACTAACATGTTATGATCTCTAAATCACTTGCAGCTATTTTAAATGAAGGAATTCTGGTAGTTGATATATGTCAGGCTATGAAATGACAACGCATCATTAGTTTCTCCATAATAAGAATAAGATGATTTTTTTGCTTAAGATTGACTTGCATTATAATCTCAGTAATGGGACCAACATAATCCAACAGGTATACGATTTATCACCCACACATATGTAATGAAAATAGATCAAAAATGAAACTCTGTGTTAGCGGTGTGGCATATATGTATAAATACCGGTGATGTGATGATGATTTTTACTTCAACTGAAATCTTGTTTAACCAGTTACTTTAAATTGGCATAAATATCCAGATGGTAGCCCCGGTTTTGCTTATTTCATTCCAATTGTCGAATGTTTTGCCAAGTATGTTGGAGTGAAGTTATCGGCCAACATGTCTCGGATAATATTTTGGGAGTTCTCCTTTGCCTTATTTTGATGGTCATCAGTTTTGTTGAGTCGATAAATAACTCCTGCCCAACAGAAAGTTTGATCTGAAACATAAAAAACAACCCATATCTTATTGCCAATTGAGTATTATTTAATAAGTAAAGTTTCCGAAACATGACAATTTGTTCATTTAACCTACCAAATGTATGAAATCAATGGAATAACGAGAATGTTCTCAGTCAAAGTGATTTAAGTCAACGGCTTCTTTGTTAAGCATGAAATATTCTCCATTTGAACATATAATAGTAGTCAGAAACAGGTGTTATATTTTATGTGTGCAAACTATTGAAAAAAATAAAAAGTCAATAAACCATATGATGTCTTTTCTATTACATACAAAATGTTTCATCAGTTTTCTGCATATTGGTGCCTTACTCCTCAGCCCACGGGATGAATATGTAGGTTAGAAATAAAATCATCTGTTTAATATCAGCATGGTCGAGTGGTGCAGTGAATAAAACACTCCCCTTTCACAAAGGCCGATTCCCCGATCGGACTTGTAAAGGTATGAAGCCACTTGCCCAACCAGGCATGTTTTCTCCTGATACTCAGCTTTCCTCCCATAGCAAGACACCATGCGCTCATCAAGGCAAACAAGACAAGGTTTACACCGGTTTAAAAAAAAATCCTAATAATTTATTTGTACAATAAATAAAATCATATTTACTTATATTATCTGTTTGACAGAAGCGCATCTTGTTGGATTCGTACTTTAACGAAGAACTGGACTTGATTGAGGTATTTTATCATAGGGTAGAACACAATATACCTTAAAGATGATCACTAAAAGAAATGACTTAAAGAGCAATGATGTTAAAAACGCTCATGTTGAATATGTTAAGAGAGAAGTACTTGATAAAGCAGCGTAAACACATCACATTATATTATATGGGTTCAAGTGCATAAATAATGACATTTTTAAGCATGTTAAGCCATAAGGTTTATTCTTTAACGAAATGCAGTATCATGAGTTTGATTCATGAGCGTTCACAAATAGATATTTAAAACAGTACGTAATCATATATTATATTCACAAATAACACTCGCTGGATACAAATTGCCAAGGCTGATATGTTTCTACTGAGGAAAGAGGGCTGGTAAGTGTTACTACTGAGGAAGGAGGGCTGGTAAGTGTTACTGCTGAGGAGGGAAGGCTGGTAAGTGTTACTACTGAGGAGGGAAGGCTGGTGAGTGTTACTACTGAGGAGGGAGGGCTGGTAAGTGTTACTACTGAGGAGGGAGGGGTTGTAAGTGTTACTACTGAGGAGGGAAGGCTGGTAAGTGTAACTACTGAGGAGGGAGGGCTGGTAAGTGTTACTACTGAGGAGGGAGGGCTGGTAAGTGTTACTACTGAGGAGGGAGGGCTGGTAAGTGTTACTCCTGAAGAGGGAGGGCTGGTAAGTATTACTACTGAGGAGGGAAGGCTGATAAGTGATACTACTGAGGAGGAGAGGCTGGTAAGTGTTACTACTGAGGAGTGAAGGCCGGTAAGTGTTACTACTAAGGAGGGAAGGCTGGTAAGTGTTACTACTAAGGAGGGAAGGCTGGTAAGTGATACTACTGAGGAGGAGAGGCTGGTAAGTGTTACTACTAAGGAGGGAAGGCTGGTAAGTGTTACTCCTGAGGAGGGAAGGCTGGCAAGTTTTACTACTGAGGAGGGAGGGCTGCTAAGTGTTACTCCTGAAGAGGGAGGGCTGGTAAGTCTTACTACTGAGGAGGGAGAGCTGGTAAGTGTTACTTCGGAGGAGGGAGGCTGGTAAGTTTTACTACTGAGGAGGGAGGGCTGGTAAGTATTACTACCGAAGAGGGAGGGCTGGTAAGTGTTACTACTGAGGAGGGAAGGCTGATAAGTGATACTACTGAGGAGGGAGAGCTGGTAAGTGTTACTCCTGAGGAGGGAAGGCTGATAAGTGATACTACTGAGGAGGGAGAGATGGTAAGTGTTACTCCTGAGGAGGGAAGGCTGGTAAGTGTTACTACTGAGGAGGGGAGGCTGGTAAGTGTTACAACTGAGGAGGGAGGGCTGGTAAGTGTTACTACTGAGGAGGGAGGGCTGGTAAGTGTTACTACTGAGGAGGGAAGGCTGGTAAGTTTTACTACTGAGAAGGGAGGGCTGGTAAGTGTTACTACTGAAGAGGGAGGGCTTGTAAGTGTTACTTCTGAGGAGGGAAGGATGGTAAGTGTTACTACCGAGGAGGGGAGGCTGGTAAGTGTTACTACTGAGGAGGGAGGGCTGGTAAGTGTTACTACTGAGGAGGGAGGGCTTGTAAGTGTTACTACTGAGGAGGGAAGGCTGGTAAGTTTTACTACTGAGAAGGGGGGGCTGGTAAGGGTTACTACTGAAGAGGGAGGGCTTGTAAGTGTTACTCCTGAGGAGGGAAGGATGGTAAGTGTTACTACCGAGGAGGGGAGGCTGGTAAGTGTTACTACTGAGGAGGGAGGGCTGGTAAGTGATACTACTGAGGAGGGAGGGCTGGTAAGTATTACTACTGATGAGGGAAGCTGGTAAGTGTTACAACTGAGGTGGGAAGGCTGGTATGTTACTACTGAGGAGGGAAGGCTGGTAAGTGTTACTACTGAGGAGGGAGGGCTGGTAAGTGTTACTACTGAGGAGGGAGGGCTGGTAAGTGTTACTACTGAGGAGGGAGGGCTGGTAAGTGTTACTACTGAGGAGGGAGGGCTGGTAAGTGTTACTACTGAGGAGGGAAGGCTGGTAAGTGTTACTACTGAGGAGGGAGGGCTGGTAAGTGTTACTACTGAGGAGGGAAGGCTGGTAAGTGTTACTACTGAGGAGGGAG